ATAATAATAATAATAATAATAATAATAATAATAATAATAATAATAATTTCAAGGTGGGTTGCATCTGGCCTCCCCAGTCTCTTCCCCTCCCGTCCCCTCACCCCAAAATGCTCCTTCTACCCCTCTCTGAGGTTGCTTTCCCAACCTTGGGAAGGAGTCAGTGCAGCTGTAAGGGCCCAGGGGAAGGGGGCTGGAGATATATCCAGATCTCTTTATTGATTATAGTATTGATTAATTGGCTAAACTTGTTTTGCACCACAACAAAATCTGCATACAATTATGTTTGACTGAAACAATCATTTTGATGAAAATTACTGCTTGGACAACCTTGGATGGTACAGCGGTTTGGCTGAGAGTTTGGACTGTGAATGAGAGGCCATCCATGGTTCAAATCTCTGCTCCTCTTTGATCTGAGAAGCTCATGGTTTTAGGTAGGTTACAGGCTACCCCTCCTCTTAGAATGTAAGAGAGGCTGAGCTGGATCAGGCCGTGGGTTCATCTAGTCCAGCACTTTGTTCACAGAGTGAGCAACCAGCTGCCTACAGGAGACCCTCACGTGGGACATGAAGGCAACGCAAGTCCCGCCTCTGTGCCCCAGCACCTGGTACTGTACCTGGGCATATTCTCTCCTAAAAGTCATTTGGACTGTTAGCCAGTGACAGCCTTATCTCCAGGGTTTGTCTAATCCCCTTTTAAATTGGGGAATTGTCCAATCCCCATCAGCAACATGGGGATAATTCTGATCCATTTATAGGGTGAGGTAAAGACTGCTGATTTTATGAATGTGGAATAGTATTTTAGCAATGTATTTATTATCTTACATATAAATTCCAGTCTATTGTTGTGTTTCTTATTCACTTTGTCTTGTTCAAGTTAAATATAGTTTATAATACCATTTTCAATAACACATTTCACAAACTAAGATGTGTAACCAATTTAATTTTTAAAAGAAGCAATATAATTATGGTTTTTTCACTCAAGTAAAATGCCCAGAGACAGATTTGGAGGGACAGATCATCCAAAGATTGCATTGTCTGTAAGAGATAAAGAAAGAGTGGGAAACAAAATCACTTGTTTTTCAGGAACACTGTTCTTAGAATAATTTGATTATATACTTTATTACAGATGGCATGGGAGTAATGTGTAAGAAAGGTTATACAAATAGGGCTTTTGAAATAATCTATACTGGATGTTGCACATCAAGGTGACAGCAGTTAACTAAGTCCTTCAAGGTGGGACTTGGTGTTGTTTAAAATAGGACCCTGTGAGTCAATTTGCACATAACAACAACCTATGGTTTAAAAAAAACTCATGGGTTATCAGAGTTAAGCTGCAGCAAGCAAGCACCTTGCTTCCTACATGCTTTTCGTTCCACTTTCATTTAGCTCAACAACACACCCTAGATTAATGCTAGGTTTGAGAAGGGATTCTGGAAACTCTTTTTGTAATCTTTAGCCTCCTGGGTAAAACATTTATTTAAGAGGAAGAAATATGCAAAAGGGTGTAGCTTCTCATATTTACCTTCAGTGCCATTCCTTGAACTCCAGAACATGTGACATTATATTTAGAAATGCTAAAGGAGCAGCTCTGATTGGTGGCAAAGTTTAATTAAAATAAGGAAGGGCCCCATTGTTCCAGAAGAAAGACATTTTTGGACCAAAATTCTTTTCGTACTACTTCAGCGGCATTTCTCCTGGCCATAAATGTTAATTGCACACATAACTGGCTATGCTAGGGAAGCCTATTACTAGGTAAACAAGCTTGGCCTTCCTCCCCTTTGTTCTGAAAGCAGTGACTGAAATGCATTTGAGAATGATGCTGTAACATTCCATTCTGTGGTTATTGGCCCACAGTCACCATCAGGATTTTGATTTACATAAAGGGCGTTGGTGGTTAAATGAGTCAGGAGCCCTGAAGTTCAGCCCCAAATACCTCTTTGCAGTAACAAATCCCAGCCATAAAATACCCCAGAACACACTAAAGTAGTCTGTCTGAGCTGCACTGCCATTTCATCTGCAAGGAGTAATAACAAGCAGTTCCTAGAACGGAGGGCAGGGTTGGCTCCCAGAATTTGGGGGATCCTTGGGCAAGATCTGCTCAGGGGGCTTCCTTCCTCAAGAAGCCCACCTCCTCTGCATCACGATTGCTGCTGCCCATTCCCCTCCTCTGCCCCTCAGAGTGTAATCCACCAAAAAGCGAAGGGAGCCTCCATCTCCTCTTTTGCTCCTGTCACTTCTTGCTCACCCGAAGAGAGATAATGAAATAAAAAGAACAGCCAAACAGCAAGATCAGGGATGAAGGGCCTGCAGTGGCATCCCTGTTGCAGTGTGAGCCTTGGCAAATGCCCAGTAATGCCAGTCTCTGATGCCAGCCTGCCATTTTTATCCAAGCCAACCGAAGCCCCAGCAAATTTGACTTTAGTCTTAAAATGCTGAGTCGAGCGCATGTTGTGAGTTTGGAAGAGGAGGAGCTAATGGAGCTGGAATGATTGCAATGCTCCTTAATCGTGCGTAGCAGAGTTTGTAGGCACTTCTTCTGCCAGGGAAATTACAGTTTAATGGTCCAAGGAGGCTTGAAAAAGTTAGTGGAAATTAGACATCTGTATGGGAACAAGCTAGGCAAAAAAGTGAAGCGTAGTGGAGAGACAGTGCCGTTTTCTGAGTGAAAAACTGGGCTGGTCTGCATGGTTGAGCAATCCGCTGTGGCTTACCGAAGCCATGCTGGGTGGTGCTATGGATGGGCAGTCATTTTGCACGTTCAGGCTGCAGCTGCAGCATGTTATCATCCAAACCTGGTGAGGGTGGGTTGCTGGCAATCACCCACAACCCTAAGACAGATCGTGGGTTCTGGGTGGTTTCTTGACTGCATGACAACCCACCTCACAAGGTTAGGATGACACATGTCTCCAAAGATCAAGGAAATCAAACTGGGTCAGTGCTGTACCTCTGTAACATCTACTTCTCAGAGAAATGGGACAAACATTATATACCATGCAGCTGAATCCCAGCCCATGAGTCTGGCAGTGAAAAAGAAAGGCAAAGGTTGGATTTGCACAGGAGAAAAAAAGCCACAGAACCTTTCCCCCTCTGCTCCTGCATGTGCTGGTTTCATGCCACATGATCTTCTGGATTGCCCTTGAATTACTAGAGTGTGGGTTTCTGTGTTGTCCAATTCTGGTGAGATGTGGGCTGCAGGATGCTCCCCAAATCACCCCCAATCCCTACAACAAACCATGGGTTGTAGGGTAGTTTAAAAGCTACCCCACTGCACACTGTGCTGGGTTCAGACAGCAACCCATGTGCCACCGCTGATCACACAGAGCAGGGAAAAGAAACTACCATGACTTCTTTCCCCGTGATATTGCGAATAGTCTCACCTGTACAGGCAGGAAAACATGCGTGCCAGACAAGGAAGAAAAGGGCACAGGACACGATTGCTTAAAGAGAACAGATTGGAAGCAGAGGAAATGGGCAGACATGCAGAGACATAAGGCCTTTTGCAAACTGGGTACTCCTCTGACTTTAACCTGAAGTGTTATGGGAAACATTTATGTTGTTCAATATTTAATTGTTTTGGCGACTGAGGGGAGAAAAAGCAGCAGCCAGCCAGCCTCTATTGTGCTGTTCCGGCTGAGAGCCCCACTCCACTTCTTCCTGCTACCGGCTGCCATTGTGAGGATCCCAAAGGAAGATAGTGACCTGCCAGTATCTGCAAGTAAGAACTGAGTGCTTGAATTAGCCCTTTTCCTCCTCCTTCCCAATCCTTTTTCCTTTTGTGCTGTGTCTTTGGGATTGTAAACCTGCAGATGTACAATCTGTTTTATTTGTAATTTAATGCACACGAACGCACACACGCTTACTTTTTTCTGGGAAATGCCTCTTTTCTCTATGGTGAGTGGGGAGGATGGTCACCCAGGAAGTCCTGCCACTGTCGGAATCATGCTTCTGTTCTTGGTAATTCTCTATGGAAGTGCGATTAGATTGAGGATAATGTCTCCTCTGAGGCCTGAGCCAGGTGCTTTCACTTTTTCCTTCCAGCAAGCACATGGTTTCCCTCATCTTATTATATTCAATCAAGCGCCTTTTCTCATCGGCAGCCATGATAGTGGAACAGACCTTATAATGAGATAAAACAACCACCAAGCACTTATTTGTTCTCTCAGATGCTCCTCATCACAGTGAAAGCAAACATTCTAGCCACCCTTGGTTGCTATAGCAGTGAAACTCAAGCTAGACTCAGAACCGATGACTGTCAGAATATGCCACTCCCCACTCTCACAAAATCAGTGGGTAACCTACCTTTGGGTTTTTCATCTAAAAAGTCACCTCAGTTTCCGCCACCAACCCCCCCACAGGGGCAATTAGCAGCTCTGGAGCCTCTTCACTGATCACCTTCGTAGGTTTTTCTTAAGTTACCTGAGTTGCACAAGCGTAAGGGCAGAACTAGAGTTAGGAAGAGCTGCATGGCGGCTGCAGAGCAAAACATCCCTGTATCCGACCCTCTTCTGTAAGCTGCCCTGCAGTGTTCCCTGAGTCCAGATGTGCCTTTTGCTAACCTTGTCATTGGGTTACACTGGTAGGAGTGGTAAAATGCTGAACCAGGAAACGTGTCGCAGGATGTATGCATGTATCGAAAATACATGAATGCCAGGTAGCTACGGATGGCCTGATCTTACATGGGTTTTTAAAATCCCCATTAGAACCATCCAAGTTGGTGGCTCTCAGCTTGTCAGGTGGGCAAGTGATAGAAATGACAGAAGATGAGGAGGACCAATAGCAGCTGGGGACAATGGCAGTGTGAAGAAAGATTCACTGAGGGAAGGGATCTCTGAGCATGTTTTACCCAGGGGCTCTCAAAAACCTGGAGCTGGCACTGAGGAGAAGTTTGGCTTTTTTGGTCCAGTGTGCATTATTTTGCATTTGGTTACACTGAACTGCCTTTGGCATTTTGATGCCTCTTCTCCCAATTTGGAGATGGTCTTTATGCTCTTTGCAAAATAATTGGGCACCTCACTTATCACCTGAACACCTGTGAACAAGAACATCTGTGAACAAGTCTGAATACAGGTGTGTAGAGGACCACACTCTTCACCTCCCTCCATTTCAGCAATGGTCTGTGCATTGCTAGTTTGTGCTTTCTGTTCCTCAACCCATTACCTATCTATAAGAGGAGCTGTTCTCTAGTCTCATGAACACCAAGCTTTATCAGGAGTCCTTGGTGAAGGGCCCTGCCCAAAGTCTTTGGAAAGCCCAAGCAAGCAATACCTCCTGGACGACCCCCATACCTATGCCCCACAGAGCTCTGGCTTCAAGGAAGACGTCGTGTGAACTGGGCTGCTTTCTCAAGTTGGATTGCAATAACCAATGCAAAACAGCTACTGTTAGGATAAGGACCGACAGAGGTTCTAAAAGCGCTTAGCAACTGATGATTCAAACCTTCATTGCTGGAACTCTACTATTGGGGCTTCCACTTGCTTGCTCAGTGTAGTTGTCTTAAGGCATAACCCTATGCGAGTGTTGAGCAAAAGGTCCCTATCCTGGTGTGCACATGTCCAACATACACAACAGGGTAAGGTTTTTTTAAGGATTTATTCTGGAGAATAACCAGCTACCAACAAATCATTCCAGTTGGCACAGTCCTCAGTTGGCCCTTTTATACATTGATCAGTAGAGGGTTACACATAACACAGTTAACACTTTCCAATAGGTTACAGAAGTAAAATGTTACAATGGAGTGATCTTTCCCACTTGCATACTACAGAAGATGCTCTGAAGAGGGGGAAGGAGGGGCTGCTATTACGTATAAGAGGAAGACTGTGGGGTGGGCTGGTGTGAATTGCCCTTTGTTTCAGCTGCAGTCATCTGTCATGTCAACTAGCTTTTTCTGGACCAGTGCCTGGTCAGTCAGCTACATTTCAAGGATGCTCACATGCTGATTTCTAGAAAAGAGGGTTTTTCTCTGGCCTTGTTATGTGTCAATGGCTGCATGATTTAACCCATGAAAGTTATACCCATTGATTTGTACATCAATCCTATGCAAGTTTAGACAGAAGGTTATCCTGGGGCATGTTGGAA